TATAGAATCAACTGTAAGTCAGCGAGGAGGCTGTGTGTTGAGCTAAATAACCTATTAAATAGGAAACTCAGATTGCACGCTTGCAATATCATAAATAATTTTAGCTTGCTGCCTTTCTTTGACTGATTTCTTTAATTAGAGAGTAGAGGAAAACAATTATATTTTCATATCTTAAATTTTAAACAATATATTATACTACTTGAAATAAATGTCTGTTTTTTACCATTCACTGAGTTACTGCTCTGGATGAGCTGAGCTGAGCCAAGTTTATTCTTAGTCCAAACTTAAGCCAGCTTGAAATTTAATATAAATTACAGTTTTACAGACCATTGAAAATAATTGAAGTAAAAATTATTGTGACAAACTGAAAATTTTCAAATGAAAACAATTCAAGATTCCATGTTTTTAAAAAAAATGTTTTTTAGGTTCTGAAATATATGCATACAGTTAAACCTCATTTCAACAAATCTATTTAAAGTTTGTTGTAATCACATTTCAATGAATTTTATATATTTTTAAAATTCATTGTGATATGATTTAATTATAATTCATTGAAACAAGGTTTGGCTGTATAAAATTTTCTCAAATATTTAAAAAATCTTTATTATTATTGAGTTGAGCTAGAGTTTCTATTTGTATGTAAATTCTTGTTCAAATTATTCATTTTATTCATAAACTCTGAGTAGGATTGAATTTTCAAGTTTGAGCTGTGTTCAAGAAAATAAGCTCTTAGATTGTTTTTTAGGTGATGGATTGCATAAATAAAATATTATGAAATAGTAGAATTAGCTCATCTCATTTGAAGCTTTATGCTTGATGGTTGAGTAGTTACAGTACATAGTCTATAAGATTATGTAACTATTTAGCTGGACTATGTGGGCTATGAATCTACCAAGTAGATATAACTATGACTATAGTCCTGTAGGTTTTTTGTATGTGCTCTTTCTTTCATTCAAGGTTATATATGCTGTTGTAGTTGCTGGCTTTCAAATGTTTTCTTTGCCTGAAGATGAGGCATATAGTTCCGAATGTGAGGGTTATGCCTAAAGTTTCTAATGAGCCAAAAAATAATAGGTTTGAGTTTAATGTTATATAAGTTTTTTTTTAGGTAATGAATGATTAATTCTACTATTTCATTTTACTTTTATTTTATTTACAACATCATCTAAAATCAATTTAATAAAACGAATAAACAAATGGTTTGAACAAACAATCAAATGAATAAACCAAGTAAAATAAATAATTCAAAGAATGAACAAATAATTTGATTATGAATAACTTGAATAAGAATTTGTATTATGAATAGGAATTCAATAATAAAGATTTTTAAATGTTTTGCATTTTGTTTATCTGAGCAAACATTATAAATTCATATTACTGTGAATTTTTAAAAAATAAAATTGATTAGTAATTTTGGTATAACAAAATTTTCTTATGTTTGACTGTATGCATATACTGGGGAAGCGCAGATATTGTTAAAACATAGAATTGGAATTTTTGGAATTCTTTAGTCTGTCATAAGTTATTGATGATGATTTAATGTTCCAAGTATGTTATACAATTTTTTATAGTTTATTATTGCTTTACTTCTATAATTATTCAATTATTTCCAATAATAATGGTTTTATAAAAAAATAATATTAAATTTCAAGTTGGCCCAAGCTAAGTATAAACTTGGCTTGGCTTTAAGCATTGTATTATTGGTAAACATTTTTAGTCTATTGTAAGAAACTTTAATTTTTGGTGTTTTCTGTAACTTAATTGCATCAACTGGTTTCATACTAAGAAGATATGTCTTTTTGTTATTTAATGTAATAAGTTGCTCATCATTACCTTTAATCCAAGCTTTAGAAACATCGTTGGTTATAAGTTATGTAGAATATTGGGAATCAAATGTTTTTTCAGATGAAGTTACATTAAATTGTTCAACAATACCTTGTGTCCTATGAGAATTGTCACAGATTTTAACACCATGTTTTTTCATACAATTGCCCTTAAACTCACCTCTCCGATCTGCCTGAAGAACATGTGGCCACACACATTTGCCAAAATCAAGCTATAAGTTATTTTTTGTGAAATTATTAATGTATATTTGTGTGGTTAATAAATTTAGAATGTCTGAAAAACTGTAAAACTGAATTTTCAGATTGGACATTTAAATTGAACCATTCGGAACATCACAAAATTTAGCCAATGAAATCAAATGTCCATTATGCTTTCCTATTCATAGACTACAGATCGTCAAATTATTTTAGTAAATTCGGTAAACTTGCAAATCATAACTTTGTAGAGAAAGGTCTTACTTCAAAAACGCTTATTTTTTGGTGCTACATTTCCATTTTTGGAATATTGAAGTATCTACACGACCAATAAAAAGTTGCGGGACTAAGTGACTTGCACTATAGTCGGACAATAATTTTATGGTTCCATCTGGCATCTATGCGAATGCGATAATTACAAAATCACATCATCAAATTGCTTTATCTAAACTTTTTAACATTATATTAATTAGTCAATGACGGAATGAAAAAAAGAGAAAGACTCATCATCATATTATTATCATCTAATTGATAGATATTAATAATCATTATTTTTTCGTTTATTTAATTTAAATAAAAAACTTACAGAGAGATAAAGTTTATATAGAGGTATATATATGTATGTATACGAATGAAGTAAACATGGTGGTGGTTCCGAAAAACCCTTCTTTTTTGAAAGTAGGTTGTTCATCAATGGTCCCAAAAGAAGAGTTTGCAGAATTATACGAATCATTTCAAGCTCTTCCTCAATTAGAACAAAACATCTCAGCTCACAGAAATGGATGATTGGGTAGTAAATATGAGCAGATGCCTCAAAACTCAAAAAGAAAGCTTGCGTCAATAAAAGAACTGAAATCACAATATTTTAATGTGTTAAGAATTAGCAAAGCTCGCTTTGAAAATATCAGAATCATCTGATAATTAATCAAGAGTTCATGGTAATATTAAAAAAGGATGCCTTCTGTACATTATTTATTTTACTGGTGTTAGGAATATAATATTTCTATTTGTTAGAATTTACAATTTTGTTATCATCATCGTCGCCATCATCATTATTAGTTTTAATTTTTTATGAATCTTTAACTCGTTATTCATTATTAGTAGTGATATTATTATCATCATAATTATCATCATTATCATTATAACCGGTATTATTATCTTTACTATCATTATTATTATCTTTGTCATTATCATTATAATTATCTTTAGTAAGAGTAATATTACTATTGTTAATATTATTATCTTTGGCATTTTCATCATCATCATCATTTGTTATTAGTTTCTTGTGAATCTTTAACTTGCTCTTTATTATTGTCATTAGTAGTAATAATAGTAATATTATTATCATCGTAGCTATCGTCATTATCATCATTATCATTATCACTGGTATTATTATCTTTAGTAAGTGCAATATTACTATCATCAATATTATTATCTTTGACATTACAATCATTATAATCATCATCATTAGTTTCTTGCGAATCTTTAACTTGCTCTTTATTATTGTTATTAGTAGTGATATTATTATCATCGTAATTATCATCAATATCATCATTATCATTATCACTGGTATTGTTATCATTAATATCTTTGTCATTATTTTTAGTAACAGCATCGTTGTCATCGTTATCATCATCATCATCATCATCATCATCATCATCACCATCATCATCATCATCACCACCACCACCATCATCATCGTTGCCGTTATCCTCATCATCATCATCAACGGTATTATCATTATCACTGGTATTATTATATTTAGTAACAGCAATATTACTATCATTCATATTATTATTATCATTATTATTATCATTACTAATAGTATTGGTGGCAGTAGTAATATTGGTGGATAAAGTGAGTATTGGCAAGAAATCCTTAAGAATGTCAATGATTTTTGATTGATCAATCAACATCAACTCATTGTCAAGATTTTCCTCATAATTACCACAACCATTGTCATTATTACCAATCAACAATCCACCATAAACTCCATCACATAAACATCTAGTAATAAACGGTACAAAACTTTGAGCAAATGTTGCATTGAATCCTTGTAAAATTGTGGTGTCATGTTTATGTTCAACAAGTAGATCTCCATAATCTCTTAGTAATTTTGCAATAGATAAAAGATTTTGATTGATGAATTCACCCAACGGTTTAAACAATGAAATTGGTGCAACTAGACGTAAAGAATTAAAAGCCGATAAATATGAGTTGGTGAGATGTGCTATTGGGGGATAATCTAATAATATAACTAATGGTGTGAATGATGACAAGGATGAAGATGAAGATAGTGAAGAGGTTGGCGATATGCTGGTAGTTTTTAATGATGAACCCGATAAACTTGTGAATTTCTTATCGCTTATCATCCATAAACTTGGCAAATCAACATTTTTTATTGCTTGATTCAAATCATCCAAGAAATCTTGGGTACCCTCAAAAATCATTTTTCTAATAATTTTATCGACTGCACTCTCGAAATAACCTGATACAAGGTGGCGAAAATCAATACCAACTCTACCGAATGACATTCCACAATACATCAATTGAGTTAGTATCGAGGAAAGTGATGAAGTGTCATATATTTGAGCTGTGAATTCATCTAGAACGAATGTTAATTGTTCAAGAATATAAACAGTATAATCCGAGATAGTAGTTGTAGTAATATTAGCAGCTGCCATGATCCCTTTTTTGATGAAGTATTTTTCTGGTAGCGTGTTAGTTAGATATGGAGATGATGATAATACCCAAGGTGTTGAAGGTGTTGGAGGTATTGAAAATGATGAGGAATAGAATGGCGTTGTGGGATAAGAACCGCCACCACCACCATTACTATCCTCAGAAAATATTGCACGATATTGTGTTACTATATCAAAAAAATGTTCTCTAAATACATCAATATATTTTTTTAAATAAAAGACGGGATCTTTCTTCTCTTTATCTAATTCATGAATCAATGATTGTAAATAGGCATCTCTAGAAAGTAGAAATACAAGATGTAGCTCAGCCTCATCAAATATATCCATACGTCTCAAGTACCCAATAATTTTTAAACACACAGGAAGCTTGATTGGTTTACTTAATAGCTTAATAAGTTTTGTTAACATCAATTGCATTGTATTTTTAACATCGTTATCAATCTGTTGAATTAAAGAGATTGATGGGTATTTTGAGATTAATCTTGTTACGTGTACAGAAAGATCCATTGCTTCTGAGTAAAGTCCATTCCTGACACAAGTATCCATCAATTTAGGAATTTCCATGATTTCTAATAGATTATTATGATTTTCAAGAATTATATTGATTTTATTATTTTGTTGAGTAAATTGTTTTAGTTCTTGAAGAAATGGATTACAAGAATTTTGAATATTGGGCAAATTTGAAACTAAATTGTTTAAATGTAAAGATAAATTGTCAAGTGAATTGTTTATTGTTTGCAAGTTATTGTTTGCATTACTAAATGATTTATATTCATGAAAAGATAATTCAGCCAATTCTTTTTGGTATTTAAGTTTTTCATCTTGAACAAGTATTTGTTCATGTGTATATGTTGTAGAAGGTGAATCAATTGAGGAAATAAAATCAAATTCTTGAACTGCTGAATTATTATCCATATCTTTGAAATTTTAGAAAATATCATATTAGTCAAACGATAAGTGTAATTACATATTAATATATATATAAAATAGAAAATCTGACTCGTGTAACCAATCAGATTTTTAAAATATTATTTTTGCAACAAACATCATTATTAATCAAAAATAAAACTATGACATTATAGTTTTTTAATGAACCATCTCCCATATTTATAGAGGCTATATATGTTAAGCTATACTTATTCAAAAACAGCATTACTTTTTACTTCAAAGCTAAGATTTTTTACCAATATTACCTTTATAAACTTGGTGAGTGGTTGAAAAGATGTAAGTCTTCATGTAGGTAGGTATAGCTTTATGTGGATTGTTGTTTATTAAAAGTTTAATGAATATCAAATAGTTATTTTTTCGATTATTATAAAATTATAAAATTTTTTATTTTTCAATAAAATTGCATATTTCGATAAGTCGGATCTCTCGATAAAGTCGGACGATCATGCCCAGCCACTCATGTCCGACTTATCGAGCTTGCCTATGTATTAAGTAACAAAATAATTAATGATTACACGGAGGATTGTTATAGGGGTTTCTTGTGATATTAGGTCTGGATCACCACTATTAATTTTAAATTATAATATAACATACATAATAATATATTGTAATCATAAGGTTACAAAAAAAACTTGTAAAGTCAAAGTAGTTTCTCCATCATTAATAAACTGCATCCCTTAATGATTAATCGGCTATTGATGGCTGATAAATTTTTTCTGATATAAATTTTCCCTAAGCATATCACTTCCTAATATGAAATGATCTATGAGATTATAACCTTTCTTTGCTGATCGTTAAATTGACCAATAAGAATGCGAGTTCGTGATTTTGTGTTACAATTAAAGAATGGTTTTAAAATAATTTTTATTAATACAACCTATTTTATTCCATCACTACTGACACTACTAGTTTAGATAACTTAAAACATTGTGTTCTTAGCAACAAAGTTAATTCTTCATAATGTCAAGGTAAAGGAGCAAAAAAAAGCTCATGATCATGAAATAAACATAAATGTGTATTTATGTGTCTATGTACATTAATTAATATTTAAAAAATTTTTTGATGAAAGTAGTTTATTATAATATAAAATTTGTAATATCTTTTTTTAGATTACACACAGGCCTTTTGTTTTCTTGAAAATATAAATTACTACAGCTATAATAACTGTTGTTAATTACACTGATTTATTTATCAAGAGATACTATTCTCATATTCTTAAACCTGTATTCTACTTCTTTGGTCTCATCTTGGAATGTCGATGATATAAAGGATGAGTCATTTGATAATTGATTGTAATCAATCGTATTTTTTGAATATATTTCATATCCCATGGCATAACTATTAATATTATTGTTGCTGTTTTTGTTGCTATTATTATTGCTGTTGTTGTTATTGTTATTAGTTTCTAGTATCATACTATGAGTAGGAGCTTCTTGTTTTTTTGAATTACGTTTTGATTTTTTTTTATTTTTAGATTTTTGTTTAGTTATGTAATGATGAATTTTATGATGTTGGTTATTACTGTGACATTTATTAATATGATGCTTCTGTTGCTGGTCTTCAATATCATCGCCTATTTCAATGTTTTTAAAATTTGTTAAATATGGACTATGTTTATGATATCTTCTAGTATGCCTTGCTTTACCACCAATAGTTTTATATTGATTTGTAGTCTTTGAACCTATACTTCGTGTACCTGAGTAAACACCCCAATACATTGCTTCATCAATACCTATTGATTGATTAGTTGATCAATAATAATAGTGATGATAATAATACTAATATATTATATTACATGTATTAATGCCCTCTCCATTATCAGAGCATCGTAATAACAATAATAGTAGTAGTAATAATAAATAACTAACCATCAAGGACACGAAGAATTACAGTTTCAGTACCAACTTTCAAACCACCCTTTGCCATAATATGCGCAGCAACTTCTTTTGCCATTTGTAAATTTAAATGAACATAACCCGTAGTGTCATCTCGTCGATAGTCGACAGAAACTTTAAGATCATGAGCTTCAAAACTTTTCTAAGATATCAAAGGCCATGTTTTGTTTCTATTAATAAATATATTTAGAGCTTTTTCATTATCAAATTATGTTTTAAATTCTAACCTTTATTAGGCCAGGAGTACTATTAGGATCTAAACCAATAAGCATTATAACTCGGTTTGTAAGTTTAAATGTTTGTTGTCCACTATTCCATATAATTTTTGGTGGACTTGCTGTATTATTATTATTATTATTATTATTATATACTTCAAGTTTTGTTTGCCGGTTATCCATCAAATTTGCTTTGTGGTTTTGTGGTTAACAAGTACAAGTAATTTTGCAGAGTAAAGATGGAAATTGCAAAATATCGTGTTTTGATCAACGCTACTTTTTTTAAACTTAATTTCCGCCTTTGGCTCTCGATTGAATTACTTGGTAATAGTAATCCCACGCGATTGACTGTTAGAAATTTTGTACAACATGTCAAATAAAATCAAACATCCACATGAATTTTTTAACCAGAAATGTGATATTCTGTACACATATTCTTGCAAATTTTTAGCTATGGTTTACAAAATAGAAAAGAATTATTCGCTGAAAGTTGATTTTTTACATCATTAGGTTGGTGAGACATGGATAATAGAAACAATATTATCCAAAAAATGCCTTAAAATTGCCCAATTAAAATTAAAACAACAACAAAAAGCCCATCACTTGTAAGTGTTAGTAATCACAATCATAATCTCTACTATGCATATACTGTATATTTATATAAATAGTAATGGCAAATTCAAGATTCAAAGCAAAAAGATTTACAATCAAACCTCGTTATAATGGACTCGTTATAACGGATTTTTGTTATTTGATTTTCTCGAAATTGACAATGTGATGCAGAAAGTTGTGACTTGTATTGTACAGTAACGAAATATATGGCTAGAAATATTTACTTTATTATATGGGACAGTAGAAAGGGACCAAACTGATTTTGAATTTCTACTATTGTTTAACAGAAATATTTCAAGCTTTTATCAAATGGACATGGGTTCTAAGCTAAAATTAATCCTTGTGGCAAATTACATGTAGGGGTGTTTGTTATTAACTCAAAATCGCGGATTTTGGTGGTTTAGTCTCTTTTTATTGTCCATGCACCCACCGCCATATGTAAAAAAACGCGTGTAACATAATTTGCAGAAATCGTCACTCAATTGTTTCTCTGCCGGTTTTTGTTGGAGAGCCTCCCATATATTAAATTCATCCAATAATTATTTATATATCATCGTCATTTTTTTGGTTTTATCGTAATCTCCAAGAAGCTAAGAAACATGAAAAGAAAGTAATCACTGAAGAATGTCAATGGTGTTAATCTAAATTACCAAAAGGTTTTATTAATGTAAATTTTGTGCTAGTTTGCTCAATGAAAAAACTCCTCATGAATATAAAGAGATAAAATAGTAATAGTAGCAGTGATAATGAAGTTGACAACGAATGCAATGCTTTATTTAATCTATAATCAATTTTATTTATTATTGTATAATTGCTATGTATTTATTTATTCATTCAATTATTCTTAATTATCAGTTTCAGATTCTAGTTGATCTTCTAATGCCAATTTCTCATATTCTTCCAAATGCCATCCAATGCTTGCTTTATTAATTTTATAATTATAAATCATATGTGCTAAAGATTTAATTAATTCATTGCTAAATTATTTTTAAAAAATATCATTATTACACTTTTAGAAAAAAGAAAATAAATCAAAAAAAAAATAAACCAATAATAATAAATTTAATTTAATTACCTTGCCATATTTTGACACCAAATACAATAATCATCCAAAATAATTTTTGAATAAATATAATAAGTATCATGATGATCAAATAAATCTTTTAATTCCAATAATACTTTTAATATTGCTCGCCTACCAAGCTCCAATAATACATAAACATCTTCAAGACATTTTTTTGATAATTCAAAATTTCTATATAATGGATAAGCTAATGTACGATGAAACAATGACAAGATTAATTCTTCAATATTATTAAAAACCTCAAGGCATGATATTGTTGGGCTTATTTTTCCAATTGTCCAAACTGATTCCACATTATTTTCTCCTTCATTAATTCTATGATTATAGCTATATGCAAATATTAAATCTATTAATCCATAATATATTGATCCAACATTATCAATAAGATCTAATTTAATAATAATAGAAATATTTGTTAATAGTATGTTATTTGAAAATTAAAAAATAAAAAGTAGCATTGCTAAGAATATATATGTACATTGTTTATTTGGCAGACTTCTCATGATTTTACATTCTTGCTCTGTAAATTCCAAAATTTCATCAATATCAAGATCATCATCCCTTTTTTCCTTGGTACCATCTATTATCTCTCTGATTTTATTTAATTTTTCTAAACTCAATGACCATTTAGTTTTATATTTTGTCAAATGTATAAACTCATCAACTTGCATAAAATCAGCTCTAATTCAACAAATAAAAAATATTTAATAATTTTTACTATTAAATATTAATGAAAAATATGATAATAACTTACATATAAATGTCTGGATTAAATTTTGTGTTTTCCGCATTAATTCTATCTCGAAGACGTGACTGAGCTGTTGATCGTTCTGGATCATTGATTTCATTGATTTCATTATAAGTTTCTTTTACATGAGTAAAATAACCTGAATAAAGTCCATTAAATCCATATTTTGCAGTTAACACTAACTCCTAAAATAAATAAAAATGATTTAATACACAATTTCATAAGCATACAAGTGTATATACCATGAATCGAATATCTATAAATTTTCACCTTCTCATCTGGAAATTCTTGTGGCAATTCCCAATCATATTTATCAGCTTTTATATAATAACAATAAAATGGGTAAATGTTTAATATTAATTATCTAATTTAAAATTACTCCACCTAAACCTTAATAATTATAAAAAACTTTATTACTATTATACCATATTCCATAATTTTGAAAAGTTTATCATCAATAATCTCATTATTAATCTCATTATTAATCTCATTATTACTATTATCCTTGACTCCTTTTTGATGATTTTCTAATGATTCTAGAAAATTTTTTTCTTCATTACTATTGCTATCTTCTCCATTAATATCTTCTCCAATAACTTCTATTAATGGTTTCTCTGATGGTAAATCTTGATTTCTAGCTCTAGGTGCCAATAATTTTGTTAAAAAGTCCAGATCCGGAAAATATTCTCCCGTATTCTCTTTTGCCAGTTTAATTATCACGTCACCATTTGATATATCATATGATGTATGCATTCTATCATCCTCAATTAAATTATTTGAAAAATGAAGTCTATATTTTTATATTTTTCCAAAGAGGGAATTGGGTGATTGATTAATCGATACATAAATCGGAAAAAAATTTTTTTAATTAATAAATAACAAATTACCGTAAGTAATAAGGTTTTGCATAAAATGAAACATCAGGTCCTTCACAATAAATTTCAATTTCATTCACCTTCGTATTACACAATGAAAGATTTATTTTTCAAGATTATTTAATGAACTAAGTTGTATTATGAAAGTGCTTTTTACCTTTATATAAGGTGTTTTCATTTTAATTGTAATGAAAGTGTCATCTTGCATTACTACAAATACAGGTGTTATCATTTTTTTTAAAAAAAATTTTAATTTTTATCGGAAATCGATTCCGGGGCATGATTCCCTGTTTTTTTATTATTAAGCAAACAGGGTCTGATATTCTCACTGGTTATAGTCTACATGTAATAAGATAGTATTATGTAAAAAAACAAATTTTAAAAAGAGACTGCGACTTTTGATTTTTTATTTGTGTTGAAATAAATTATTGTTACAAAAATTTTAGTTTTATTATTTAATTACTTGCAAATATAAAGAAAAATATATAATAATGATGGGGAAAAATAAAAAAAAGGTGAAATGCAATATTAAAAAAAATTTGTCCAATTATAAAAAATATAATCTATAATATTATTAAAAAAGAAAGAATATATATTATTGTCTTTTAGCTGTCTGAAATTATTATTATTATAAATTAAAATAAAATATAAAGTAATATTAAAATCAATCGTGAATCTTAACAACAGAATCTGCACCACCGCTTGCTATCCATGGCAATGAAGGATGATAATGAACACATAATACACCTTCATCAGATTTTTTACGATGTGATGAAAATTCTTGAATACATTGACGACTTGACAAAATATCCCATAAACGAATTGAACAATCATGACCTTTAAAAATGTTGTAAATAAATTAAAAAAATTGGGGGAAAAAATTCATATAATCCTTTTCTATTAATTGATAAATTTTTACCTCCAGATATCAAAACCATTCCTGATGGATCAACGCCAAGTGATGTAACCGAATCCAAGTGTGCAGACATTGAAAAACTACATTTACCTATATAAATATTTATATAATAAAATGAAATCAGTATTTCAATAAATATTATATCATATCTATTATAAAAGTAGATTGATTACCTGTATTAACATCAAAAAATCGAATATATTTATCTTCATGTGCAGAAAAAACTAAAGGCAGTGTAGGATGAGAAATTATACGATTTATTTGTGTTGCTGGTGTATTATCAGAAGTTTCATTACTCTTAAATGTTGTAACACATTGTCCAGTTTCTATGTCAAAAAGTTTAATTATAGAATTCTGGAAAGCAACCACAACTTTTTTCAAATCAGTATTAACAAAATCAATCGAAGTTGGAACTGGTGGACGACCTAATATAAATATAAGTATAGATAAGTAAAATAAATTTATATGTATATATGATTGTGTGTGTATGAATGTGAATTAATAGACTTAATCAAATAAATATTTTTGTCAAAGAACTTACCATCACCATTGACCATTTCGCCATTATTATGACCATAATAATTCCACGAACATTTTAAAGGCGAGCCTACTATCTCTGTATCCCAAATTTTAACAGTTCCATCAGCAGATGCAGAAGCTAGATATTGAGTGGCTTGACGTATAGGAAATAATCTTATGTCCCAAATAGCATCAGTATGGCCAATGTATGTTGTTAAGTTTAATGAAGGATCTGAATAATTTAAAGATAAATTCTTCGGGTTCAGCTAATCCAAATAAAAATAAAATAAGAATGAAATTATAAAAAAGATAATAATGTTGTTAATTACCAACTGGCCCATAAGGTACTATTTTAGATTCAGGTAATTTCCATACACGTATGGTGGAATCCATACTTGCTGAATAGCATTTATGTTGCTCAGATGACATTACAACTGAATTTACTGGCGCTGTGTGTCCTCGATAAGTATGTAACGGATCAATATCGTGATTAGGGATAGGTCTATAATAATAATCAAAATAATAATTTTTAAAAAATAAGAACAATGATATATATATATCTTATTTCCATAACTCATACTTGTTGATTGCAGGCCCTTTGAGATCCCATAATTTTAAAGTACCGTCGTCTGATCCTGATATAAACATTAATTCTGATTTATGCCACGAAAGACTTCTTATGGTATCAAGGTGACTAATTAAATATTATTTAGAATTAAATAATCATTCAAAACAACAAAAAAACAATTTGTTTTTTTTTTAAATATTTATTAGATTCACCCTCTTAATGTAAATCTTGGCCTCCACATTTTCCTATCTGTTCCATTTGATTGAAAACCATCAAGCTAAACAAATATATAAAACAAATTGATAAATTGATAAATTGATATGATCAACTATATTTAATCTCCTTTATTTACCTCTGGCTTTGGTAGATTTTCATCATCTTCAACAGAAAATTTCAAACCATCTAGTTGTGGGTCAGAAATATTATTCGCTATGTTTTAAAAAATAAAATTAATAAAACTTTAATTATAATAATTTTAAATTTAAAAGTGTGTAAATAATTAAAATTCTTTATTACATTGCTTCATTGTATTTTTCCACACTCTTGACAAATCACCGTCTGAAAGTTTAAATTTTTCTTGAAGATCTTTTGTCTTATTATATTAAAAATAAATATGTTAAAATAGTATATATGTATGTGTCAATCAATTAAATAAAAATAACAATTGTATACCAATTGTTCTTCTTCTTCAGGTTTCATTTCTTTATTTTTCACTGATTTATTTTTGTTTTTAAGATCATTTAATGTTTTCCAATTATCATCATTTTTTGGATCAACAAAACTTTTACCATTATCATCATCTTTTTGGAATTCTTCGGCCTTTGGACTATAAGATCCTGACTCATTATTATCATCCGAAATTTCTTTTGAAGCTAGATTTGTACGTTGGTATAACCCAGATGAAAAGGGAATTCGATTTTCATCGTTACTGGCCGTCGATTCACCCCAATTTTTTGATGAAAGGTCATTCATATTTGATTGAGTAAAAAATGCATCTTCTCGATCCGAAGATAATAAATCATCTCTTTGTAAACTTTGGTTACTATTGTATTCTGACCAATTTTTTGATGAATCGCCATAGCTGATATTGTTACTGCCACTACTGCCACTACTATTATTGCTATTATTTTTACTAGATATTGAATAAAATGAACCATCTTTTTGTTGTCCGAGTGAATTAGAACTTATTGGGGAAGGGATTTGATTTTCTAGTGGTGGACTAGAAGAACTAGTTGGTAATATAGGTGAAGTTACTTGTGGTATTGTTGGAGCAGGTCTAGAAGGCCTTATTACAACATTATTTGGCTTTTTTGTTGACATGGTATGATCAATATTAATGTTGTTGTTGTTGCCGCTGTTATAATCGTTGTAGGAATCTGTATTTATTCCGAGTAATACTGTGCCACTTCTATTATTCGGCTTCCTTGATGAATTGTTATTATTGTTGTTTCCATCCAAACTTGTCGGACGATTTAAAATTTTATTTATCATAGATCCATTATCCTTTGCAACGTTAGTAAGGTAATTAATCTCTTGTAAACATCTATTATTAAAATAATAAGAATAATGTTTTTATAATTGTTTAGTAAAAAAACAACTATAAAATAATCCGAATAATGATAACCAATTCATACTCCTTTAATAGTTCTCGGCTTTTTATACGATTTTTAGGATCTCTAGATAAAGCCAAATTTTTGTATTTTGATGTCTCTGTAGTTAATGGTTCAATTGACGGTGATGATTTTTGTGGAATTGCATTATTATTATTAAGCGTTATAGGTGAATCAGCTTTTTTATTTTGAACAAAGATTTTTGTTTTATAAGGGAAAATAAATTAAATATATTTTTTTTTGGTTAGTTTCAAAATCATTCAACAAGTTTTCAACTTCACCAATTACGAAAACTTACGAAAATTTTCAAATTCGCAACTTACGTCCTTCTTCATTTGCAGGTGTATCTGTTGTAAATGTTTCTTTTGACTGACTATTATTTGTGTTAGATACATATTTACCCCTAAAATAATGATATATCAGGAAAATTTAATACCGTCTTTACATATATATGCATATATTTGATTTTAAGGAGAAAGAAAGTAAATAATAAATATTTATATTTATTATAAATTTAATTATTATGAGAGTGATCATACCTTTCTTTAACTAAAGCATATTCTAACATTTTAATGCGCCTCATTAAATCTGTCTTCATCCTTTCAATTCCTCGACGCTCTCCCTCTAACAACGCAATGCGTGCCTATTTAAATAAAATAAAAAAAAAACAATAATATATTTTATTCTAATTTTCCAATTCTTATTATTATATGATTAATTAATAACTTTTTTTATGATATGATATTAACACATATACATGTACATATTTTTTTATATACACAAATAAACATAATGGGTCGATAAGATCTTTGTGGGTGTGCTTAAGGCTAAATTATTAAAGAAATTACATCCGTCTAATATTCAAAACTTAAAATTCTTTAAAGTTTACTAACCTTCATCTCAGCACGTTCGATCTCCCACTCATTTCTATCACGTTCATAACGTCTCCATTCAACCTGCAAGAAATGGAGTACACCAGGCAAAGTATATTCTGGTGCTTGAGTTTGGTGTTGAACTTGCTGTTGTTGATTAAATGTTTGCGCCATGCCTGCTTAATATAAATATGACTTGTTTGAGAATTAGTGGTTTGAAACTGAATCCCTGTAGCTTTTTTTTTCTCATTCAGATTTGAGCAAGAAATTATAATCGTCACAGTTGTAGAATCCCTACTTTACTACCGCAGTTTTGTATAACAAAATATTATGCTTTTTTTTTTTTTGTTATACATGCAGATCGATTCTGTGTTCATGCATTATGGCTGGTACCAGTAAGAATGAGGAATCATTAAAAATACTTGACGCTCTACAAAAATCTCATAACGTAGAATTTGATTACTTTTTTAAAAGTGTTTATAGAAGAGTAAAATTGATAAATTTAGAATCAATTGAAAAAAACAAATTAGTACTTGAACTTTTATTAAAACCTGAAGATTGCGGTGTTTATGGAAATGTACACGGTGGATTTGTTGCCAGTCTAATTGATGTTTGTTCTACGCTTGCAATAATAGTAATTTCAGGTAAACACAGACATATAATACATTCAATATATTCAATACATGTGGTATATTAGGAATAATAAACAAATTATTTTATAATTTAGGAAATAAATTTGTAAATGGTGGAGTATCAACAGACATTTCAGCATCATATGTATCGTCGGCTAAATCAGGAGATGTTCTATTGATAGAATGCTTTGTTTATAAGGCTGGTAAAAACTTAGCGAATACTTATACAGTTATTAGGAATAAGATTAATGATAAGGTTATTGCTATTGGTCAACACACCAAATTCAATGGTAAAGAGATTTTTTGATTTTGATTTTGATTTTTTCCCTTCTCAATTTAATTTTAAATTTTATCCTATTATTGTTATTATTATTTAGTTTATTCAAAGTTGTAATAACAAAGATCGTTCAATTCATTGATGCATTATTCATCCATAAATTCATTCAATTATTATTTATTTATTATTTTTCCTAATTTTTTCCAACTCAAGTTGAATATCTTCTTTGGATGTGGGTAATTGTTTCTAATCAAATAATATATTATAAGTTAAATAATAATAAATTAGGAAAAAAACCAATTTTCAAATCTTGAGAATTCCTACTTTTTCGGTTTCTGGCCAAAATTTAATCTTTATAAAAAAAAATAATTTTATTATTTAAAATTTAATAATGATATATTATCGGATATAATAAAATAAATACAAAATTATTTACATTTTTAACATGTTTTTCATAAAATTCAGGTCTACCGAAATAATACATAACGCCTATTGGAAAAAATATATAAATTCCAAACTAAAGATAATTTAAAGATAATTATTATTTATTAATATCTTAATGATAATATAATATAGTGTGATCTTTTTACCTTCACTATTTCTAAATTTGTTCTTGCCATATTTATATTTTGAAAATTAGAATATTTTTTTTGAAAATAATAATAATATGAGCCGTCGATTTCACTCGATCTCATTAGTGGTATTTCTATTTATGTCAAGATTTTCGGTAGATCTTGCATATGAGCTTAAAGCTTTTGTTACACGATCTTAAGAATTTAAAAAAAAAATGTCTCGAAAAATTTTTTTACATTCATTTTCAAATGTTCGGAGAAAACCTTTGATTATTTCAAGAAAACAAGGTATGGATAGATAGATAGATATGTACACTTGCGATTCGAAGCTTGTAAATTCTTGCAAAATTATGATAATAATTTAATATAATTTTCAAGATCTATTAATTAGATGTATACTCTTTCTCAATAACAGTAAGATTTTTCAGTTCTTCATTACCAATAAGACAAGAAGTTGAAGTTTTTGTTGATGGAAATCCAGTGAAGATAGAACAAGGAAGTGCTGTTATTCAAGCTTGTGAAAAAGCTGGTTATACAATTCCAAGATTTTGTTATCATGAGGTTTAATAAATCCATTTTATTATCATCGATTGAAAAAAATGAATAAATGAAAATATCAAATTTAGTTTTTAATAAAAAATTTTTTATTTTTAAACCAATTAGCGATTATCTATAGCTGGTAATTGTAGGATGTGTCTTGTTGAATTGGAAAAATCACCAAAGCCCATTGCTTCTTGTTCAATGCCAGTGATGCCAGGAATGAAGATTCATACAGATACACCGTTAGTTAAAAAGGCTCGTGAAGGGGTGATGGAATTCCTTCTAGCAAATCATCCATTGGATTGCCCAATTTGTGACCAAGGTGGAGAATGTGATCTTCAAGATCAATCTGTGAGATATGGTAGTGATAGAGGTAGATTTCATGAAGTTACAGGAAAAAGAGCAGTAGAAGATAAAGACCTTGGACCTTTAATTAAAACCACCATGACAAGATGTATTCACTGTACTCGTTGTGTAAGATTCTCTAATGAAGTTGCAGGTGTCCCCGACTTAGGAACGAGTGGGAGAGGAAATGATATGCAAATCGGCACATATATTGAGAAAACATTAGATTCGGAGGTTTCAGCAAATATTATAGATTTATGTCCTGTTGGAGCATTGACGGCCAAACCTTATGCATTTTCATATAGACCATGGGAGTTGAAAAGATCAGAATCAATTGATGTTATGGATGCTATTGGGAGTAACATTAGAATTGACTCACGAGGAGTTGAAGTGATGAGGATTTTGCCAAGAATAAATGATCAAGTGAATGAGGAATGGATATCAGATAAAACAAGATTTGCTTTTGATGGTCTTAAAAGACAAAGACTTACTGTGCCATTAATTCGTCAAGGAGATAAGTTTTTAAGTGTTAATTGGGAACAAGCATTGACATATGTAGCTAATAAACTAGACACTATCAAAGGCTCTGAGGCTAGAGCAATTGCAGGAGAACTTGCAGATGCAGAAAGTTTAGTAGCACTTAAAGATTTATTTAATCGATTAGGATCAGATAATTTAACAATTGATACATTAAATGGATCAAAGATTCCCCCTCACGGAATAGATTTTAGATCCAATTATTTATTAAATAGTAAAATTTCAGGGATAGAGAAAGCCGATGTGCTATTGTTAGTTGGAGCAAACCCTCGACATGAAGCACCACTTATTAATACGAGAATATTTAAGAGTTATCTTCATAATGGTTTAGATATTGGGTTAATAGGTGATGCTGTTAATACAACCTACGAGTACGATCATATTGGAGATAATAGTGGCGCATTAGAAAGTATATTAAACGGAGAACATATATTTGCCAAAAGGATAAACGAAGCGCAAAAACCATTAATTATTATTGGAAGTGGCGTTTTAAAACACCCTGATTCAGAATATATATTTTCTATGGTATCAAAAATAGTTGATAAATATTCAAATAAAATATTCCAAGATGATTGGAATGGTTATGGAGTTTTACAAAGGGTTAGTAAAAGACAACTATTTATTCTAATATACATATGTGTGTGTGTGTGTGTTTATTATTGGATAATAATAATAATACTTTTTTTTTAAAAAAATTTCATATATATATATATATATCAGACAGCAAGTTATGCAGCAGCATGTGATATTGGATTTGTTCCATCCAGTTCATCTTCAATAAACAGCAAACCAAAATTTATTTATTTATTGAATGCTGATGAGATTTCACCTGATGATATTCAAAAAGAAGCATTTGTTGTATATCAAGGACATCATGGCGATGTAGGTGCAAATTATGCGGATGTTATTTTACCCGGAGCAGCTTACACAGAAAAGACAGCAACTTATGTTAATACAGAAGGAAGAACACAATTAACACGTGCTGCAGTACCACCTCCAGGAGCAGCAAGAGAAGATTGGAAGGTAAGTAACTTTTACTTAAAATTTTTATACACACGTACATATATATGGTGATGATGGTTTTGATGATTTTATAAAATAGATTATTCGGGCGTTATCTGAAGTTTCAGGATTTACATTACCATATGATGATTTAGCAAGTTTAAGAGATCGTATGAATGAATTAGCACCACATCTTACACATTACGATATTGTTGAAAATAATAGTAATCCACAACTTGGACTTAAACCATTTTTAAAATCAGAAGCAAAATCAACAGGAGCTATATTCAAGTCCATTATTCAAGATTTTTATATGACGAATAGTATTTCTAGAGCTAGCCAAACAATGGCTAAATGTTCGAGCGCCTTTTCTACAAGAAATCAAACAAAAACAGCACAAGCCTTGTCAGCTTAAATAAAATTTGAATTAGTTGGTATGTGATATTACTATTTTGTATTTTTTTATTTATCTAACTCATAATTTAATTCATTTTTTTTAATCTAATTTAATTTAAAAAAACTCAAAATGCATATTATTTCAAGAAGATTTTTTATTTATTTATTATTTTGTCATTAAATAAAAATACATTACTTTATAATTTTTTATCCTACAATGAAGATATTTAATATTATTGTTTTTAGAAGATATAATTCTGAATAATGACAACTATTAATATAATTTTAAATTGAAGGAAGAATTTAGTGGACCCCATGTAAAATTAACACCGAATGTTTTTCATATTGAAAGGTAGAGCCATGGCGGTGTTACTTTTTCACTTCAAATCTAAGACTTTGCTTTAAACGACTTGATAAGTAGCTGAGAAGATGTAAAACAATTTAAACTTTCATATGATTATTATTTTATGGGGTATTGGTTAGTGAGTCTCATAATTAGTTTTCAAATAAAAAATAATCAATGACAAAAAAACAGTTACGATGTAAAAAATTATGATTAAACTAGAATGAAAAGTCATGAATTTATGATTACCGCTGCCACAATCTTTTTTCTGAAAAAGAATTTATTGGTTTTCGGGCTTGTAAAAATGTCTATAGATTTAGTCGTGATTATCAAATATCAGATATGTCAAATACTATTATAATATCTCTAACAAATCCTCTCTCATATTGATAGAGGCTCTCTATCTAAACCTATATTTATTCAAAAACAACATTACTTTTTACTTCAAAACAAATATTTTTACCTTTACTTGGAGATATATAAGCCTTCATATGGGTATAGCTTTGTGTGGATGCGGATTGTTGTTTAATTAGCATTCAAATTTTGCTAAAGTATATGATAATCTACAGATATAATAATAATAACAGGATTATTACCAAATTTGGAAAACGAATCTAGAAAAATTGGAACTCCTTTGTTTTTTAAATTATTAATAATAATCGAAAATAAACAGTATTGAATTTGCTTTGCTCAGCCTTTTTAGCTTCGATCTCAGAATACTTCTTTCTAATTTCAGTATTCTCAGCTATAAGCTCGGAAACCCGTTCTTCTAATGAGGCGACTTTAGATTGAATGTTTGCCATGTCTCGTAGGGTTACTTAAGAAGCTCGATTTTTATATAAAATGCGGATTATTCAAAAGCTTGTTTATTAGTGTAGACAAAAAAAACAGAAGATATGCGTAAAATAAAAAAAATATACGCGTGACGAATTGTCACACCAATCACTTTTGCCAAGAAAATTCTCGATCATATATACATATCATCAATAAAAAATATTATTACGTCATTAATATATTATGAAATAAAAATATCATGTGACAAATAAAAAAAATCCTAATTATTATAAAAAAAAGATTCGCATTAAAATCATATTTTTACGGGGTTCTGATAGTAGAATCTTCTTCAGAGGAATCATGTTGTTCAGTGACTGACCTAGATTTCTTTAATAAAATCTGATTGAATTCATGAAGATTTACCAGTATCCCATCCTAAAGTTAAAATAATCTTAGGAATGGTGTATAGTATTAAAAGACTGATTTTTGGTTTTTCAAAATTTCTTACCTGCAAGATTAATAAGGCATGCACAAATTCTTCAACTTTATCCACAGTTTCATTATGTAAAGGAATCTTGGCTTTTATGATAGGGAGGTAAAACTTTATACCTTTTTCTCACAACAATCTGTATACATCAACACCATCCAGAAAATATAAAAAAATTTTACACATGTCAATTGTAAGTTTAATAATAAAAAAGTGTAAAACTTACATCAGCACTATAAGATTTACGCAATATTACATCAGCATCATAAGATTTATGCAAGTTTACACTAAATTAATTTCCTGATGCACAGTGGTCATCTAATTATCAAAACACAATTAGACAATAGAATGTTATCTACATTATTGAATGAAATATGTTTTTTTACCTGTAATATTTATACCAAATATAATGCAGAATTTATACAGCTTATCCTTTTTGGTTTTTTTTGACATATCAGTATGCCCGTCTGAGGTGAAACAAGCCAACTTATTATGATCATTATGGGTTTTTGTGCCTGTCGATTTCCATTTTCCACTTTCGACATATGTGATCTCGTTCCATTTTGTTTGAAAAATGCTCGAATCATTAAGTCTAGCTTGTTGCCTCTTGAACTGGATACTTGTCGATTTTTTCGTTTTTTGCTGGCATCACTTTGATGACCATTTCTTGTTACTTTGATATCCAAGCCAATTGGCATTTGATATATAGACACCTCCATAAGACATGCCACAATGTCTACAAGAGCATTCTCTGAAGCTTTGGAAATTTTATGAAGAACATTCCTTTTAATTTCTTGCAGAAGAGTGTCTGTTATATTTGTTGCTATTTGTGCTCTGTCATTTTTGCCCTCAACCCAGTTCTTGTGCCTTGTCATTTCTGAAGGTGCAATAATGAATTTGCACTGGGTTTGAATTTCGTTTCTTTTTGTAACATAATTTGCACACACACTCTTTATCAGAGCACCTTTTCTTAACTTCCTTATACCACATTTCTCACCCTGTATAAACAAGTTCCAAATATGTTATACAATTTAATATGATCAACATAATTCGTGTAAATATAAATTACTCACCACAAGAACATCATAGTCATCATCTACTAACTGGTATCAAGAAGATCCGAGGTCAACTATACCATTAGCCAACAGGTCATCATAGGTTAAATCACTAATATCTACATCTTGTATTTCCTCGAGAAGATGTTCATGTACTGATGTGTTTGCTTTCTGATAATTTGGAATTGGTAATGTGATTAAATATATTGACATGCAAATAAAATATAAAGTAAACAAAAAACAATATATATATATACCTTTGCTCTCCATACACTTGATAAAAGCATGATCAAATCTCTCATTTTGTTGGCTATTGTTGGAACTTCATGAAGCTCCCCTCTTTTAAGGACTGATACTCATTCAGGCTAGACATTCAGAGTACTTGAAGTCTAAGTCCTTCAAAATCAAATTCACTTAGTTTTTACAACTAACTACACTAATAACTTATATGAATAAATTTTTCTAATAATATACCTAAATGTAAAAAACCAATGACCTGCAATTTCCAGACTTTTTCTTCATTGAACTTGATCTGTTGAGTTAAACAAACCAACATATCATGCAATGTTTTGCCAAGTTTCAATCCATCTTTGAGCTGTTTGGTAGAATTTAGAATGACAAACTTTTTTGCTACCTCGATTGCTCCATACTCCATATTATTATCATACATTCTGAAGATCCCATCACCACATTGTCCCATCTTCTATCTTTCCTTGATGCTTGTAACAGTTCAGCTTCTGTTTTTTCTCGAAGCAACTGCTATGCTTGTTGACTCCTTTCTGCAATACAAAAACAGTTATGACAAAGCACTGGTCAGGTCTGTTAATTGTAAAAATTTTAAAAATTTTAAATCTTGAAACAAGTGTAATTGCGATAACTGTATACCTGACAATCTCTAGTCCTTGAATGCTACGAAATGTATGATCAACAATAACAGACCTAAAGTTTCTGGCCCAAACTGTTTCTCAAAGCCCAAACTAGTTTGGGCAATTTCAGCTACTAATAGAAGCAGTTTCAACCAGAAACCTTAAACAGACCACGTATTAGCATCAAACCACCCCTCTAAATGTGACTTTTTTAATACTTCATTTGGATCTTCATATTCCAATTTATAAAGTATATATGTAAATTTATAAGGAATTTAATAATATTGAGAAGAAAACAAATAAAAACTTACAAATGTCTCATCACTAGCTCAGCCCATTCTGCATCAAAATGTTTGTCTATGTTGTACAGTTCATTTACATTTCTATATGAGGTTGTTTCTAATATCTTTCTCAAATCAGCTATTGTTTTAACCTAAATTTTAACAATACAAACTTTGTTCAATGGAACAAGATGAAGAGAAAAAAAAAATTTCCCAACTCACATTTCCAAATCTTGATAATGATCTTGCAACATATTCATCCACCCTTGGTTGTTTACAAATTGCATTTTTAATTTCAAGCCAGTCATCCACAGCAAATAATTTCTCAGTTTCACAGTCATCCAGATCAATTATCCAAGAATGTAATAGTGATTCTGTTGATAATTGATTTCCTTCACGAAAAACAGTGTCCTCAACACATGTACCAGAAGATAAAGTCCACTTATGATCTTGATTCATTTTTGTGTATGATTTAATAAAGCATATTAGCTGTGATGGTTGCAATGGAGACTTCTGATCATCAGTATCACTAGAAAAAAAAGAAGAAAAGTCATGTATCTAAAAAAAAAAGGATAAAAAATTATCATATTATACTCATACCTTGGCAAGTAGTATGACCCATCATCTGATTCAAGGTTTTCAGGTTGTGAGATAGCATTTCTCTGTTTCATCATCTATTGTTCCTAAAACTCTTGACTTGAAGAATTATTAATTTAAACCATTAAATTCTGCATATCAGTCCCTGATCTTTTTTTACATGCATAAATAATAGCTTACTTCATTCATATCTTCATGTGATCTTTTAGAAGGTACAACAGACCTGACCAGTGCTTTGTCATAACTGTTTTGTTGATATTTTTTTAAAAAAAAATAAAAAATAAAAAGATGTGTTAAAAAAAAATTTAACAACACAACTAGAGTAATGAGAAGTGGCAGGCAATAACCACCATCCTTAAAACACTTACTCATATGTATCTTTGGTCTCTTTTCCTTTGCTTCTTTTAACATGAGGCTTTTTTTTTTTGACAAGAAAAAGAAGTTTGTAATTTGATCAACGTGTACACATTAATTATTTATCCTATTGGTTTTTTTTGGTAGGACAGATGCAAATTGATTTTTTTTATTGGAAAAACAATTTATTTTTTGACAGAGCCCAAGGTGACAAAACATGAATGTCATTGTTTGGTTTGGTTTGGGTCCCTTAAAGAATATGTGTTAATAACTAACCAGAGGTACTTTTTTTTATTTGTATTGATTGATATTTTTATTATATATAAATATTTTAATTGGAATCAAAACGCAGAGCAGATCATTGCTGGGTAATTACAAGATTTTCATTGATAATATTTTGCTTTTTGTAATCAATATTAATAATATTATATTATTATATAATTACAAGAAGATGTCAAGTTGAAAAAGAAACAATTCAAATATGCAATGTTTGATTATTGGAAATTTACAGATGTTGAAGCACGCACACTGCCTTGAACTTTACAGTCATTCTCTCATCTTCCTCGTGTACATAAGGCTAATCTGACTTGCACCCCCCGAAGATACAATGATGCAACCGAATTCCAGGGGGGGAGCATGGCCCTGGAATACATCAAGACTGCACCAATCGTCAATGACATCCTACCTAATCTTCCCTCACCAGAGATGGCCGCTGCCATGTTGGATGAAAAGTCAACTGCAACGATCCTACTCTAGGGTAAAGATGGCACTTTGACCAAGCTGTCGCAACTCTGCAGGAATATTAAGAGAACCTGCAACTCGTTTCTAGCACAGGAGGTCGCAATTCAGAGCAGGGTTGGTGGCCCTGAAATTGCATTTGGACTCTGATGTTAAGAGGAAAGTT